CAACGTATTTTGTCCCTCTGTGTGCTCGTGAGGGTCTGACCCTTTCACTGGTTTGATTTTTTCCTCGTATCTTTTCTTTGTCTTTTCGTCGAGTCTGTCTTTGTACGGACCGGCATTGTTCTCCTTCGTTTTGTACAAACCTTTTTGGGGGGCAAAGAAAAAGCAAGAATTTATTGGAACCGAAGAATGAACGTTTTGCGGTGCTGCAAATGCTTGCATTTGATGCGGTACTTGGATTGTTTTGCCACGAGTTACCGGCATGCAATGCACGAAAGTCACGTGGTCTGTCAATCTCTATATACTGCTGCATGGGCGGGGCTGGAGTTACATCGTAAGGTTTTAAAAACTGAGCTTTAAAATGAAGAGCAGTAATAAAATCCGAGAGAGGCCGGCAGTGATCACTGACCGTTTTTAGGGGCTTTTTGAGATTAAATAGAACAAGATTCCAAACATTACAACATGTGAAAAACACAACAGCCGTTTTAAACGCAGAGTAGTTTGGACCCAGAAGCAGGATTCATCAGATCATCACTTAAAGATTGGATAATGCTGATGCTTATTCGACTTTGGATCTGATGAGTTCAGAGGTGCGGCCAAAGATTAGGGCTCTTTGTCGAGTTTCTTTATCTGCTGCTGAAGATCAGTGTTTGGGTTGTTACTCAAAGTAATCTCTATTTGACATGTTACTTATTACTTTTCTCAAAAGTAACACAGTGCAGTCCTTTATTGCTATTTATTGATTTATTACCTTAACGACCCCAGAGTACACACAGTCTTCAGAAATATTTGGATGAATGGGATCTGTTAATGACATCCCCGATGATTTTCCAGCAGACAATAGTTTGGGAACACGAGTCAAGTGAGCGTTTGTGTGTCATTCTGTCAGGTTGACTTATAGTTTGCATCCAAGTATATCATGTCACATTTTACTTCTGACCTCTGAGCGAGCTGCCCCGGTGGAGGTCTGGGTTCTTAGTGTCCTTCTTGTTATTTATGGAAACATCCATTTTAAAAAATGATAATTCACTGGTTTAAAACCACAACATTTTCAGTTTTTATGGATTTTTGATCGTACAGTCCCTCCAGCTGTGGGAGAACTGGAGCCATCTGCCAATAAAAGCTCAGATGCAGATGTATTGGTATCAATGAATGTGTCCAGCCAACATGTAATAAGACTGAAGTACAGCGATGCAAAGCTAAATGTTATAAGGTCTCATCCAACAGAAATGGCAGACAGGAAGTTTGCTGTAAAAGTGAACCCACTGGCTGATAATCATTCACCGTCAGGCTCTGGTCCTGTGAGCTGGGTCTGTCTCATTAAAACCAGCCGGGTCAATATTCCCTCTGACAACCACCCACCCCCTCCACTTCCAAGGATCAAACTTTGCAGCTCGGTTAATGAGCTGAAGCGCCACCAGCAGAGAGCCTCCCACAGCCCCGATGTTAACAGCGAGGTGTTCATGCTTACAGGAGAGAGCCTAACTTTAGCATCTATAACAGGATGGCTGACTCGGCAACAAAGAAATAAAACCTCAAACTGAGAGATGTCTTTGGCTTCCACCAAACTGATTTCTGGTTTATTGATTTCTTTCAGAAACTTTGCAAATCAACCAGAAGACGAACGATCGTCTTCTGGTTGATTTGAGCTACACCAGGAAACTTTAGTCTGTACGTCCTGCTCTAAAGATCGGGTTAGAGGTTATCAGCTGTGCAGCTAACACACTGGGATACATTTAGAACAAAGATGGAGTAATCTCTTCCCGGCTCCGTTACCGAGTGGTTCGGCTGCTCTCCCGCAGCACACAGGTACCTGTTGTACAGCAGGATGTCGGGCCTCCAGATCTGGCTGTCGGGGAACCTGACGTTGGTCACGCCTGGATAGTCGGACGTGTTCCACTGCAGGTAGAAATCTGTCCAGTACTGCAAACACGCATACAAAAACCCCAAGTTACCAATGGACCGACCCACCTCGTACCCACATGTGTTTGTGTGGAGTCGCAGACTTTATTTGGCGCTCTGTGCATTCAGTGAGTTACAAAGCAGGATCTCGACACTGTGATTGTCAGACTTGAAGCTCATCCATGTCAACAGCAGTTATTTTTAGCCCCCTTCAAAAATCAGCCAGTATTATAGTTTTCCTGCCATATTACCATAAAAGGCTCCAGTATGATGATGCTAACATTAACACGTGTTGGTTTCCATGCTGAAGAACGGAGCAGCTTTGCAATAATATTATTTTAGCTCAACATTTCTGTTTTTCAGATCAGCTGAGCTAACGTGTCCACTCCTGCAGGTTTAAATATTATTTATGTTGTTGGCTAATGTGTCCTGTTTTTGGGCCTTTCTTAAAAAAAACTTGTATGTAAACATTTGATGACATGAACACTCCACCGATGCTTAAAGTAACCGGGAACAGATTTATTAAGTGACCGACGCGTTTCGGCATCTTTAAATAAAAAACACGAAACTGAAAAAAAATCCACGTGGACCAATCACACCTTCACAAATAAACCAGCTGACCAGTTGAGGTGGTGACAGTTAATTGGTTGAGCCACAGCCCAAATAGATTCTGGACTGAACCATTGCAGATTAAAAGGGGGAGAAAATAAATAAATCAATAAAATAAAAGCATGTCTTAACATAATACGTACTCAAAATTACACAGAAAAATGCAAATTAGTTAAAATAAAAATAAACACGGTTTTCCACAAATTCACTGTATTTCTGTGAAACCTGCATAAATGATGGGCCAACAGTAAAATCACACAGATGTGATTCTTCTGTGTGATCAGCAGCAGCTGGCTCCTGTTTGCCTGACCTCCAAATCTCAGCTGGTGAAATCCAGATTACATTGATGGATCTTATGTAACAGCCATTGTTAGCTCCGGGTGTTTGAGAGAGGACGGAGCGCCGCCAAGAGTCGCCTCATTTGCATTCTTGGCTCCCCGGCAGGCTCGGCCCTCGTTACGTCTCCGAGCTTCTCCGAGTTCTGTGGTCCGTGCTGACGGTTTGAGGCTGTGGTGACTGAAAGTCGCACACATCCCTCTTCATCTTGTTTACTTCCTGTCACTGAGTTGAAATGTTTTTCCCGGAGGACTCCACTGAGAGCTGAACTGTTGCAGAGATATTTCCCCTCAAAAAGGCTCTGACTTTTGTAAGAAATGCAGGGCGCATCTGATGTTTGACAAAAACGTGACGCTGTGCATATAATAACTTTTAAGTTATGACACAAGAAACATAAAAAGTGTCACTCCATTACCATTAATGTCCTTTCATCATCGCGTCTGTCAAAGACATGTCATCACTTATTTTGTAAGCATCACGTCAGAGTAAAGCAGCCTCACTGGTTGGACGCACTGATGGCGCGTAAACGCCCACAGGCTCAGTTACTGCTGCATCACTGCAGATTTGTTCATCTGACAGATCAATAAAAGTGTGTCACTAACAGTTAGACTTCACCAAATACACATTTCCAACCGTGTCATGGTGTAAAACGGGCTCTCTTCTCACTCTGTAATTACTCAGCATTATCAGGGATCACAGCTGGATTATTACATTCACACCAACAACAAAGCTGCGGATCTCAGCTCTTTTATCCGGTGTTAAGTGATGCCGAGAGTTTGGATAATGGGGTTTGGTATTGTGTCACCGCGAGTGTTAAAAACAAGGCTGAGAATTCTTGTTCTTTGAATGTGGTCGTGCTCCCCTCGTTTTGCTTTTGTTATGACAGTAGTTTACATCATTACATCATAGCACAGCGCAAACAGCTCGTTTGCTCCCATCTGATGTGGTGTTAAAGTGATATTTAGTTTCACCAGTAGGTGGCAGCACCACAAAGAAACGCAGGCCAGCTATTGTAATGGAAGCCATCATTAACCCAGAGCTGCTGTTTTACTGTTTCAGGTGAGAGCAGTAGATACATTTCTGTAAAGTTGATACTTATTTAGTTATAAGTAAATAATGTGACCAAATAATGCAGGAGGCTAGCTAAACGACGTTAGCCTCCCGCATTAGACTTTGTAAAACTGCTCCATCACAAATTAGAAACAATTAGCTGGTTTCAGTTAAAGTTATAAGAAATGTTTTGGTAAACCAGCCAGTACATCTTGTGCTGTGTATCGTTTACTGGTTTATTCTCCATCATTTACTCTGATTACACATGATCCCTTACAAAGGTAACACAGGCCAGCTGTTGTAATGGAAGCCATCAGTAACGCAGAGCTCAGCTTTGCTTGTGAACACCTGAATGTGCACCTGGATGAACCGTCCCTCAGTGCACCGTGCTGCTCGACTGTAACTGTCAGCAAAGCTGGAGAAACTGGGTCAAAGCGTCACAGACGCACGAGCGTGTAAAGCAGCAAAGCTTAAAGGTGATTTTCAGCCTGTTTTTGAGACGTACGGAGCAAACAGAGAAGCCTAAATATTTTATTTTTTACTAATTAAATATTAAGATTAATCCAATTAATTTTCCAGTTTGAGAGATTTGGTGATTTAGATCAGAGCGCTTTCACCCAAAGGCCTTCAGTTTTCATTTCACATATTCAAGTCTTGCGACTGTTGAAATATTAAAAGAGTTGGGATGACGTTTTACTTCTTAGCTTTCAGGAGGAATATGTTGACTCCGTGAGGTTTGCTGAAATACGTAATAAAACACAACATTAACTCCTCGCTCCGTTAGCATTAGCATGGAAACCACTGAGACTACAACATGTGAGAAACTTCAGAACACGCCGAGGAAGCCGGTTTGATTCTGAGAGCTCACAGGTCATTTCAATGAGCAGGGAGGATGTTCAAAGCCTCCAAAGCTTCACAAGTCAGAGCCGGATAAGACCAACAGAAACCTGCACAGTACAAAGGGAGAGGCCGACTGATCCACGAGATAAGGTTCAGAAAGAAAGAGAGAAATGCAGCAGCTCAGAGACAAGGCTGGACAGCACCGCTTTTATTCTGGAAGATTTCAGGGAGACTCTGGAGCTCTGAAAGAGCCGCTGATTATTATAAGACCTCTCCAAACACTTTAATTATTTGTTTCAACACGACTAAACGTGTAAAAGCTGCTGAAGAGCTGAAGATGATCCTGTCGTCACCACAGGCAGCAGTAAAATCGTGAGGTAAATACAATATTTTAGATATTTTATTTTAATGGTTTAACTTCGAGCTGCTGTTATTTTATTACAAGAAGAAGAAGAATTTCATGTTTATTACACTCGCTGGCCACTTCATTAGGTCCAGACGCTTATTAACACGAGTAGCTAATCAACCAATCACAGGGCAGCATGTGAATGCACACTTATGATAGCAACTTTTACTTTTTTGCCCTGAATATTGAATCAACTCTAAACATTTTTATCAGTCATTTTGATGCAGTGATGTCATGACAGTCATCAGAGTCTGGACTAAATACCTGCGTGTTACATTGTTGCATTCATCGTGGAAACTAACTGATGTCATGTGGCTGTGTGTGTCATTAATCCCAGAGGACGTTCAGACCCAAACGCAGGGCAGAGGCGTGGAAGTCAACGCGATCATTAAGGCTGATCACCCAGGAAATAACAAAATACCAGCGTCCCAGTTTCCAGCGACAGAGATGGCGACCAGCGGGGAAAACCGTGCGTGATCGAGTACGGCTGTCTCCACTGTTGTTCGCCGGGAGCAACCGTGTTGAGGGTCGGCATGGCTATTAGCCAGGCCAGCTTCCCAAGCGATGGTTCTAGCCAGAATCTGTCTGTTATCAGGGCGATGTCACGAGGGAAGAGGTGATGGCAGCGAGCGAGGGACCGATTGCGGAGTGCAAGGTGGAGGGACGAGACGGGAGGCTTCTCCTCGTCCTCCTGGGACTAAGCTGATCCCCGCTCTGGAAGAGGAATTCCTCTCCTGTCTTTAACCGCTTCGTTGTAGGTCGTAGGACAATCGTGGGACTGTGTGAGATTTTAGTGCATCGATTTTATTCATTATTATTTGGTTTGTTTCATTCCTGCTTTCCCCTTCGAGGAATAAAGTCTTTCTGATTAGACCTGTAACATCTCTGTGCCCCAGGTTTGTGACTCTTTAGTGTCTACATTTGCACCTCTGACTTTGACCTTGAGGTCACTGATATTCAAACTCTGTGCTCTACAGCGTCTGCTGCTCTCGACCCTCCAGCAGCCTTTCATGGCTGAGGGCTAAAAAGTATAAAAAATACTGGAGCTGAAGATAAATCTCAAAACCAAAACTTTAACCTGAGGGCCAAAGACCATCACAGCTAATGTGTTTAAGGCGGTAAATATCCTCACTGCTCATTTGCTTTGTTCATTAATGAAAAATCATTTTAAGTGGAGTAACAGTTAAAGTACAGCGTCATTTTTCTGTGTTTACGCTCCTTTATGCTGCTCTGAGTCTGTGCGTCTGGGTACAAACAGCTTGTAAATGGGACGAATGCTCAACAAAATCATTGCAGAATAAACGTGAAAGCTCTTTCCGAGCCCCTGAAGGAAGAAATGTGATCCAGGAGACAGTTTTTACTCTCACGGTGAGTCAAAGTTTCTCGTCTGCCAGGAGGAAACGAACAAAAGCTGCAGGAACACTGACATTAAAAAGCCTCCCAGCTCCTGCTGCAGAAATGTTTCTCCTCGCTTAAAGACATTCTTCCCCTTCACAATAAAACCCTGAACAATGACTCCAGCAGCAGCAGAGGAGGAGGAAGAGGAGCTGAAGCCAAATTAAATTAAGCCAAAACAGTCATTGGTCCTGGGAGAGCCTCTGGGGAGGAACCAACCTTTCCATCCGAGAGGAGCAGATTAGGCCGGATTAGTGCAACGCCACCGTACAAACACACATTCCACAGGCCCTGATATGAAACCTAATTAAATTTGGACAGCTGTGTGAAATGGGCTTAAGGAGCTCTCTTAATGGATTCCTGCGCTCGCCATTAGCTTTGACATTCACACCAGAGTCAGCCCTGCCTGAGGAAAACAAAGAAAACTGGCTTTCCTCCGAGCGAGACCGGCTCAAAGCGAACGGAGAAGATGTAAAGCGTCAAAGAGCAGGAGGTGGCGAGGCTCACTCAGCATTCGTGGAGACAGAGAGGCGGCGCTGGCGCTGCTTTTTGGAGTTTTTCTCCATCACAGCAACCTCACTGTATCTGGGTCAAGTGGCAGAGCTGGAGTTCATCCTCTGTGGAAGGATGGGGCGGCGTGGCTGCAGGCTTTTACTCATCGTCAGTGTTTGCTCGCTTTATTTTGCCAACAGTCAGTTTGCTCGCCATCCCGACTGCCACCGATACTCCCGCCTGCGACGGCTGGCGGACACCCTGCGTTAACTCTCTGCAGGTGACGGCAGGGGGAGGCTGGGTGGAGGGCCAGCTCATATCTTGAACTAATCCTCCGGCAGTGAGTTATGGATCATTACACTAAACTCCCCCCAAAAAGGGACGTCCATTCCTAAATGTCAAAGCTGGCACAAACATACCCTCAAGATAAAGTTTGACATGTTGGCAAATACACGGATTCTCACTGAGGCGTAGAACGCGCTCAGCCTCGGCTGCAAATGTAAAAACATATAAAAAAGACAGAAAAGAGGAAAAAGACTCGAAACGACGTCTCCTGGAAACCGCTGATGTTTCCAGCGTGCCTGACAGGTAAAGGCGGCTCACCTGAGCACCACAAGCACGAGCTCAGAACAACATTAACAGATGTAATATTCATGTGCATCTTTATACAGTCAGTGGGTTGAAGGTGTGGAAACGAATGTTTACAGTTGGTGTAAGAACCGTCTGGACCCTTTTCTACGATCATCTTAATCTTTTACCAGAAAGAAAACTCACCAGCTGTAGCCAGATGTTGGTGGTCAGCACCTGGTTCTTCTCGTCCTGAAACAGAAAAAGAAGAAAGGCGATCAACGCCTCGGTTACAATGAACGGTCCATCTGAGAGGTTAGGCTTGCTTTTCTACAGGTACAGTTGCACAAACCAGGATAGAGCGCGCATCATGGTGTGAAGAGGACAAACCAACAAAATGACTCTGAAGATGTTGAAGGAAATCTTATCTGCTCATGATGTCATTCTTTGGGCTTTGGGGTGGTGACCCCCACCTCACACTGGGGCAGTTAAATGAGCCTGTGAAGTGGGGTGAAGGAGAATTAGCACCCTCCAGTCTGAGGTGGGTGAAGTGGACCCACCCTGGACCAGCGTTTAGGTGTCTCAGCGTCCTGTTCACAGGTGAGGGGAACTGACAGCAGGTTTGATGTGGCGCCAGGTGTGATATAAACGCTGCACCGCTCCGCTGTGCTGGTGAGAAGTTAATGAGAAGCTGTCGATTTACCACCTGTGCCACGAGCTCTGAGTAGTGACAGAAAGAACAGTTTAATGGACGCAGGTGGTGGAAATAAGCTTCTTTGACGCGACGCCTCTCCCTTAGACACAAGGTGATCCTTCATTACGGAGCGACTCGGAGTAAAGCTGCTACTTTGTTGACGTGGTTCAGGTGTGTGACCAGGACGAGACGAACACCTGGGCCTCTCTGCCCGGAACAACGCCCCACAAAAATGTGCCTTTTAAAGTTGGGGTTTAATTTTACAATAAAACCAATTCTGCTCTTTGCTCTGTTGCACTTTGAATACGTTCCTTTCCCCGACTCCTGTGAGAGAAGCTTCACAGCTCAGTTTCATCAGCAGAGATGCCCGACGGCAAACACGTTACAGACATTTGTCTGGATCCAAAGAAAGACACCCTCACAGTGTAGACTGCAACGTGGCCACTCACTGAGACGTTATTCAGACGAGTCGTAACAGGTTTCTGCCCATCAAGCTGATGTTCTTATGCACCAGCTGCAGCAATGCTGTCTTCTAACAGATAGTAGTCACATGTTAGTCACATAAATGTGGATAAGCCGCAGGTTTACATGCCGGAGACGTTGGTTTGTGTCCTGCTGGTACTTTTATGTGTCCCGTCCCCCTCCTCCACACGGATGTGTTTTCACTCACTGGTTATTAGTAGATGCTAGCAGCACTCTGAAGCAGGGGAATGTTGGTGCTGGAATAACAGCGGTGGCCACAGAGCTGTTTCCTCAGTGCTCTGAACCAGAACACCTCTGCATAAAGAAGAGAGGCATAACTAACAAGTTCACAACAACTTTGCAGACGCACATGAGGATCCTGCTGCTGGCGACTCAGACTCAGCTGAGTAGGATGAATCTCTGCTTCAGTGGGGGGGTTATGACATTTTCACAAAAAATACGCAAAAAACAAACTCTGGGTTTGAGCGGCGCGAGAGGCTCGGTGGTGAATCTGGAGTCACGTGCGCTTCAATTTCCCAAACAGTTCATAAACTTTGCTGTTCATAAAAACTGGAGGGACATGAAATGAAGACTGAACACATGAACTCATATGTATTGGTGATTCCTACAGTCTCAGGTGAGTTCAGCTGCTCTGAGCTGCTGATGTTAGGAAGCAGGTGTTGATCGCTGATCATCTCTAACTCGGGTTCATAAGGGCTTTGATGGATTGTGCGGTCATCTTGGCCAAAGATGCTTTTGGGTTAAAGGAGCTTCTGTTGTTTGCATATGACTGAACACTCCTCTGCAGTCACGGTTAAAAGACAGTCTATTCTCCAGCGTTTCCTTCGTCCCTGTAAATTAATCTTAAACATGTGGAGCGCCGGCAGAGGGGAGGATGAATGCGAATAATGTCACTTTGATGAATGTCCAGCCTGTTAATACATTCTCAGGCAGCCGAGCGTACTGAAAGAATTAAAAGATGAGGATGTAAGCAAGTGGCCGGCACGTTGGAGGAGGGAGAGTCTACAGAGGAAAGAATATTAAAAGTTTAAGGACTGACCTCCAGTTACTAACGAGTATTATCTATATGCTAAGCTGACTGCAGCCACATGAAAAACAAAGAGTATGCTTGAACAAATAAACCTCTTTGAAAGAACGCCTACATTTAAAGGTCAGACAAGTTCCTTCTTGCACCAGGAAACCATATATTAAGCAGGAAATGCACCTGGAGAGCAGATTGTTTGATATGAAAAGAAGCCAAAACTTCCTCCCAGGATCTGCAGGACGCCTGCAGTGGTTACACAATCGCTCTCACTATGCTCCTGCTGAAAAGCCTGCAGCAATGAGCCAAGAAAACTAGAAAACGTATGTAATTTATAGCTAAACGTAGAAGTTATCTGCCATTAAACTATGAAATGATAACGTTTATAACTGGTTGATAACTGATTTCTAAGAAAACTGCTTGTTCAGTTATTGCTATGCTAGTTGTTTGGTTTGGATCAGGAAAAGCTCGTGTTTGGTTACAGTTACAGTTGTAAATGTAATCGCAGGTATTTGTCCGTAGAGTGCAGATTGCAGTCAAACGTATCCTGTTTGCTTACTCCAGCTGTATAATCCTCGCTATGATGGCAGTCATAGAACAAACCTGTTTACCTCGACTCCATTTACTCTGGATGAGGCTGTAAAGTGCCCGTGGCGTCGTCGCTTTCCTTTGGGTTTTCATTTCTTTGATGCTGAGAACAGTTTCTCTGACGATAAAGCACAGGAACATGGTAGCTTCCATAAACTGCAAACCCACTCGTATGTCTTTTTAATAGGTTAATTATACGTTTTTAAAAATCCATCAATCTGTGCTGATGTCACCTGGACCCACAACACCATCGCCCTGGTAACGAAGGCCCAGCAGCTGCTGCACTTCCTCCATCTCCTGAGGAAGAGTAACATCTACAGCTCCTCAGTGGAGAGCGTGCTCTCCTCCTGCCTGGAGTTTGTACTCAGGGGCCACGACCGAGAGCAGGAAGGCTGCACAGAGGGTCATTAACACCACCCAAAACACTGACTTTGCCCCCCCTGGAGGCTCCAGGTGGGGCACATAGCACACTCACACAGACTCTGTCCAGTCCTTTTGCGCTTCTTTCAAGCACTTTGAAACTGTTCTCTAATGTAAATGGCCTGTATTTGTATAGCACTTTACTAGTCCCTAAGGACCCCAAAGTGCTTTACACATCCAGTCACACACACATCCACACACTGGTGATGGCAGCTACATGTAGCCACAGCCACCCTGGGGCGCACTGACAGAGGCGAGGCTGCCGGACACTGGCGCCACCGGGCCCTCTGACCAGTGCACCTCTCTCTTATGTTTGTCTATATATCCTGTTTTCCTGCTGTCTACTCTTTATATTTAATTCCAGCCCAGTGGGTGTGGTCACCCACCATTTCATTGTACATGTACAATGAAAATAAAGTGCTATTCTATAAAAGAAAACCAGGTACTCTCATACAGTAAGGAGAAAAGCCACAGTGGCAGCAGCCTGACGGAGAAACCAGGGTTGCCCTTTTCTCAGCCTCAATCTCACCTGTGACTCACAGACCAGACCGACCAGTCAGCCAGAAGGAAAACCCACCAGTGTGGATATAAAACTCGGGAGCAATGGGGCAAAACGGCAGCAGCTGTGAAATGGTGCTCGGCAGCTGATGAGATGATACGAGCTGATGAAGCCCAAAAATCACAGTGGAGGGGGGTAGGGAGGGGTGGGGGGATGGGAGACGATCACGAGCCGAAGACGTACATAGTATTATATATATTATACAGCTAAATGATAAACTTAACCATCAGGTCATCAGCAAACAGTCCATCCTGTAATCCTGGACAGTAAAGTAAGTACTGAGGCTGGCTGCTTTAGCTCCTCCCACTCCTCTGATAGGCTGCCCCTCACATATAAAATATTTAAACAGCAGGTAGGATGGCACTTTATCCCATCGCCCAGAACCAAGAGTTGAAAAGACTGAATGAAAACGAGTTTTTATAGAGATTACTGCTCTTACTGTGTGTGAATGTTGATGTCAGGAAGATGGAGGCAGGTGGAGGTCCTGCTGGTATCCAACAAAAAGATTCAGCAGAGTACAGACGATAAATGAACAACCTGATATCCAACCCTGCAGCATCTTAAATCTGTAAAAAGGCTGCAGGAGATCAAAAGCTGCTCCTGTGCTCAGCTGAATCTGACACTGTGTCGTTATCTCGTATTAATAAGTGGTGATGAATGAGCACTGAGAAAGGATCCTAATGTTACGAACGAAACCGCGTTTCCCAGAGGAAAGATGAAGTCTTTTAAAAATGGATGCAGACTGATCAGGCGAGCTCAGATGGGCTGAGACGGAGAAAAGTGTCTGATGAATGGTACCACAAAGAAATAAATGATGTTAGGAGTGGATGAGGACTGGAGTCGAGGAGAAACCAGCAGATAAAGCAACAGATGAACACAGAGATACTTTAGTGGGTGATTAAAGGAAAATGGTGTTTTGCCCCAAATAGCAAAATTGGTATGGCCTGGATCTGGCCCACACAATGTGCTTACACATGGCCCACATACCGCAAAGAATGACGGCCCTTTGGTGGCCCAGATCTGGCCCACACATGGGTCAACACAAGGCCCTGTGTTGGCCCAGAACAGTTTCAGCTCTGGCCCCAGATGTCAGCTTGATATGTACCTTAATCAAGCCATGTAATAACAACATGCGCCGGGACATAATAGTGCAGAAGTAACATGACGAAACTCAGACACTGATTCTTATACAGCACTTTTCTTCTCTCCCGGGTTACAACATGCCACATTCACACACTTTCTCTAAGCTGAGTGCTCTAACTACATTCATACACATTCTCACTCTTGACATGAAGACTGGAGCAGCCAGGGATCAAACCACTAACCTGCCGATCAGCAGGTGACCTGCTCTACCTCCTGCACTATAGCCACCCAGTGGTAACAATGAGTAAACTAGGTTTTCGAAACCTGCATTTGAAACGTTGGTTACCACAGCAGTATAGTATTGCAACATGGCATTGGGGTCTACTAACTGAAATAGAAAAATAGGAACATAAACAGTGCCATCATTGCCAGACCTGGCCCACATCTGGTTGACATAGACTCTGCCATGACACCAGTCAGCCAGCAGTGCCGGCTTGACACCAGATCTGGGCCAGACCAGCTTGCTATGTGGGGCAGTGAATGTTGAGCTGTCTACGTGATGAGACTGCTGGGTCCATATTTCGGTTACATCCTGGTGCTATGGGGAGATCAAGAACCCAAAAACAAGTTCAAACTTAGGATTTTGGATGTTTTCCTGTTAAACTTGAGTCAAACCCTCAAGTCTGTAACTTTCTATCAAACACGTCGCCAAGGGAAACGGCACTTTTCACCTTCGGGGTGGAAAAGCACCATGCCGGGATGGTTGCTGCCGGGATGGTTGCTGCCGGCGATGCAGCGGCGCGCAGACAGAAGTGATGCTGGAAAATCCTCCTAACAAAACCAAAGCAGATATTTGAAACGACAGATTCGCTGCAGAAGTGAGAAATCATGACATCAGGTAATTAAACGCTCGGCTTCCTGCCAACTTCACGCTGAGTCATTTATATTGATTAAGAACCTCATCAAGCCCACGCAAAAATACGTTTCCCTCGCCGTGTGCTGTGGAACGCCTTCGTCACCCCTTTAGCTAATTAGCATGTTCCTGCTAACGGGGAGCTGTTTGTGAACTCTTGCTACTTCTGAACGTTTACGTGCTGTTAGACTCAGATTTAAACAGTATTTCTTACATTTGTTCCTTATTCTGATCCACATCACTTGTTACCATGGCAACAGCTATTCTTCCTGAAGTAAAGAAAATAGAAAACATTAAAGAAGCAATACATCAAAATGAAAACAAGTAGCTCCTTCAACAACAATCGTTAAAGATGATAAAAAACTTAAATATTACGACTGGTTCGATTCCTGAAACGAGCCGGCTGCTTTCTCCCTCCTCACCCGACCTCCCCCCCACTCTGTCCGAGCCTCTGCTGGCTGCTGCTCCAAAACACACACTGACAGGAAGTGAATTTAAAGTTCATGTAAATACCAACGTTGTGTAAAAATAAGCTATACTTTGTCACGGTGAGAGATTTAGGTCCGATTCAGGTTTCATGAGTAACTCGTTTCTCCGTGGGACTGTGGCGCCCCCATAAATTCAGACAGAAGGAGGCGGGAGCGATGAGAGACACTGTGGGGGGCGCTCTCCACAATCACTCAATCCAAAACCCTCACACATGCAGAACAGCACCGAGGCCACGCCTGGGTCCATATGAAGGTGGAGCTGCTGCACGTGGAGCACGATCGCATCTCCTCTGTGTGCACAAACACACACAGACACGAGTGCAGACCCATGAAACACACACTCACTGCACATCGGAGACAAAAGGCAGTTTTAGAAAGAGTGTGTGTGTGTTAGCTGCCCTGCACTGTGGTTGAATAAAGTTCTGCAGCCAGGACTCTGACATGTCTAATAATTGATGTGTGTGTGTGTGCGCGCTTGTTGTCACATGCCATGATAGATGAAAGATGAAAGTTGCCTCCTGCTGTGGCTGCTAGCAGGGTGCAGAGCGAGTGTTTGTTAAACTGGCTGTAAGATGTGCGTGAGGTAGAAACGAATGAGCTGAGCTCGTTTAGTTCCTCACAGCATCCGTTTGTTTGAGTTTATGTCTCATCCTCACGGTCGGGCCGCGCAGCA